CACTTGCAGTATTGTGTCCAGTTCTGGTGTCCTCAACATAAAAAGGACATGGAGCTGTTGGAGCAAGTCCAGAGGAGGGCCACGAGGATGACAAGAGGGCTGAAGGCACCTACTGTATGAAGACAGGCTGAGAAAGTAGGGGCTGTTCAGCCTGGAGAAGAGAAGGCTGCGTGGAGACCTCATAGCAGCCTTCCAGTATCTGGAGGGGGCCTATAAGGATGTTGGGGAGGGACTCTTTGTTAGGGGTAGGACAAGGGGTAATGAGTTTAAACTTAAACAGAGGAAGTTTAGATTGGATATAAGGAAGAAGTTCTTTACAGTGAGGGTGGTGAGGCACTGGAATGGGTTGTCCAAGGAAGTTGTGAATGCTCCAACCCTGGTGGTGGTCAAGGCCAGGTTGGACAGAGCCTTGGGTGACACAGTTTAATGCGAGGTGTCCTGCCTATGGCAGGGGGGTTGGAACTAGATGATCATAAGGTCCTTTCCAACCCTACCTGTTCTATGATTCTATGATTCTATGAAAGTAAAACTGTGTTACACAGCTGCCATATTAAATACTGAGATGCTAACATATTTAGGAGAATACTAGAGAAACAGCTCTCAAAACTCTTGTTAGAACACAGGACATGCAGAGAAAATGGTTCAGTAGAATAAGAGAAGAAATGAGGCATAAGAAAAGAACATGGGATTACATTATGTTCCTGGAACATCTTCCCATATGACAAGTGGGGCAAGAAAGTGGTAGATAGTGGATAAATTGATTTAGGTGAGACTTATAAGGAAAGTTTGGAGATTTTATAGCACAAATCCTGTCAGAAGGAAGTGAGGAGTGCTGCATGGTGGATATCTTCCTCTAAGTGAAACCTGGTTTTGATATGAGCTGATCAATCATTATAGCGGAGCATCAGAGTACTGATGGAGTGCTCAGTCTAACACAATGAAGTGCAGGGAGAATACAAGACAGTCACTTTCTTGATCATTACTTATTACTACACTATGCTGATTACTGCTACACTTTTCTGAAAATGCCAAAACCACTGGCTGTCAATGAGATTTACTTAATATGAACAAGGGGAATAGTCCTTCATTGAGAAGATAATAATCATTGATCCATATTACAGACAGATGGAATATCAGAAATTCACTGGCTTCATAATTGTATCATACTAACTACATAACTACTTTGTTTTAATTAGAAGTTCTGATTAACCTAACAAATAAGAATGATTTTGTCCACATTCCATGTTACACAGAAATAGCGATAATGCCAAAAATATATGGATCTAATTTTGACATCAAATACATTACACAAGTGAATAAGCCATTAAATGCAAAATTATATAGACTCTAAGTTTATGATTTTGTCCAACTTATCTCATTTGCAAGGAGACAAGTCAAAGCGGTACAGGAGCTTTTTTCAAAGGTTACAGGGCATATTACATAAGGAATGATATACAGAGTGGTTCCTGTCCGTAGAAATTCTGGACTATGTAACCAGCTCCACAGCTCTTGGGACAAAATACATATGAATACAAGTGTAAGACTTAAATGGTAGTGATAACTCATAACTCTGGTACAGCTGAATCTACTGAAGTTTCTAGATGTTTAGTGTGTGGTGTCCCTGCTCATGGCAGGGGGGTTGGAACTAGATGATCTTAAGGTCCTTTCCAACCCTAACTATTCTATGATTCTATGATTCTATGTTTTAAAATTTACTTTGTTTAAATGCCACAAACACTTCAAAATGTTATGAATTTTTACAGTATTATACAGTGTGATTACAGTATTAATACAGGGCAACATTATTTGTTCTTTCACCTCATCTACATAAATTCTCATAGTCAACTTACTTTGAAACAGTGCCCTTAGTTTTCTGGACAGTTATTAATTATCTCCCCATTTTCAGAATTTATTCCTCCTTACAAATATTAATGATACTGTTAACCCAAATGACCATTTCAGCTTTGAAATAATTGAAAACTAAGCAGCTACTTAACTGTGAAATCAACTACTGAAAAGTTTTATGTTCACCACTTACATCGTTAAAGGAGAGATCGTGAAATTATATTTTTTCTGCATAGAAATGAATAGTTACAAAGTCTTAGAGTCTCAAGCCATTATCAGGACTCATCCTTCAAGTACCTTTGCTAATGATTCATGCATGGAAATCTTCATTCATGCCTCTGTGACCTTCTTCACAGAACAAGAATTTCATATCATGGATGATTTTCTTCAGGTAACGATTTGGGTCTGTATGCTAACTCTTCTCTCTCTCAGAAATATTTCTCTTTCCATGGTTTGGGTCATTATATATCTTTCCCAGGCTTATAATACTTTTAGAAACAAAAGCATATTGTAGAGAAGTACAGAGGAGATATTCTTCCTTCTGCAGAGCTATTATCCTTAACAGCCTCTTTTTAATTAGCTTTTAATTTTTTTTTTCTTTCTTTAAGCTTCCTCAGAAAAAACGTTCTTCTAGATCAGCATATCCATGAATATACACATCTTTTTTTTTTCCCCATTAATAAGTAGCACACAGAAATGATTTGGCTGTTCCCTAAGATTATAGGCTAGCCAAGGTTCCAGAGATTATTACTTAATGAAGAGCATTTTAAGATCAAAAGTTCAGAATCTTTTTTCTGCAGGTTTCAAAACTGTTTATGTTATTGAAGCTTTTGAACTTCACAGAAACTTAATGGAACTTACATTCCAAACTCATGCTGGCACTTTTGAGAACACCTTCCATAATCATTAAGTTAATGGGACTTAAGCTGGCATATAAATTTTTCAATATAACTACAATCTTTTCTTAGTAAGTCCTCCAAGCAGGCAGAAGAAGCACCCAGCTCACTTAAAGGCAGGAAAGTTGAATTCTATCATAAAGTCTTCCACTAGTTCACTCAGTGACTCTGAATGATTACTAAAGCCAGTAGTTTTATAAGGCAGCAGCTAAACTGAGGTACTAAAAAACACTTCAGGGAAAGATTTACATTGACTGTAGGAGGCTCTGAATCAGTCTGCAAATGGCTGATTAGTAAAATGTGCTGAATACTTGCACTAATTGCTTAAGTCAACAACAGATGGAGGAGTTGGCATCCGTGGACATAAGGCCACTCCTTCATATATCCAACTTTAGACATGCAAAGTATGAAGATTTGAGCTAAAGCTTTGTGGCCCAGCTTTTCAATCAGCAAAATAAGTCTTAAGGAAACCCCATTCTCACGTGTTATAGTGAAAATGCTATTTAATTATTCATACATCAGCTGTGTCACACACAACCCCACATTCAAACAACCGCCCAATATGCCCTTTCAGCAAGTCTGCTACCCTGGCAGTGCCAGCCTTCCCTTCCTGCTCTGCTTCACCCTCTCCGCCACCAGCTTCCAGCATGGGGCTCTCTTCCTCATCAGCAACTAACTTCGTTCCTAAACCAGTCCCTTCACACCTACCCAAGATCTCAGCCTCCTTACCCAGCAATCTTAAAATAGACTGCTGTTCAGCCTTCTCCCCAAGTACCTCCTAGCCTCCCAACAACCAAATTTTAAGTCCTGTTGCATACCTGGGAACAGGAGGGCTGTACCAATGAGGAAAAGGGATTTTCAGTAAAAGAAAACAATTTACTTCATTTTTGGAAAGAGCAAAACTACTTGGGGTGAAATTTTCTTTCTCTCTTACACACACATGAGCACACCCAAATACACAGAAGAACTGTGAAAAAAATGATGTTTTGCCCTAGTGAATTCAAATTACACTAGAAAGATTTTATCTAGAAAAGATATTAATAACTGAAATCATCAAGAAAATCGGGATATAAAGATGGGGGAGGGAGCTGGGCCTGGAAGCTTAGAAGGTGTTTGGACTATCTGGGAAAGAGAAATGATAGGTAAAATGAATAGGTGCACTGTCAGTTCTGCCTATGAGGTACAGAAACATATGCAAAATAGTCGTAGAAAAACAGGTAGCTCCAGTGTTTGAATATTAGTAGCAAATGAATTATTATTTCCCAAGAACATGATTAATGCTTTAGTGATAATTTGGAAACAAACACCCAGCAGGAGTATTTAGAATTGCAAATTGAGGACATACGAATCACTAAAATATTCTGTGTATAATAGCACTTTTTTTGTTTAAGTTCTAGTTGCATCAAAACCTATTTAATGTTAATGAAATAAAGTTAAGCTTTTCCATCTTTTTCTTGTGTGCTATAGTACAACAAAACAAATGAGTTTGCTGGTGCCACATTTGAGTGCTTTGAAGAAACTGGTATTATTTGGTGCCACCTAATAAAGGAGTAACTGCATGTGCAGAACAAACAACAAGGTTAAGTATTACGTTGCCTTAATGCAAAAGTAAAGAATCCATTTCTGACTGTTTTCCACATAAACCATTTGCCTAATGAAATTAGCCCTCCCTCCTCTTCACAGTACTGCTCTCTATTATCATGGTTGGATGGGAATAGCCTTTTCACTGACTCAAACCACTCACATTACCACAATGTTCAAGCATAGTGCAAAGCAAATCCAGTTATACAGCCAGCCTGATGTTGAAATAAGAAAAAATACCAACTGATGTTCTGAGTGAAAGGTTCCACAAGTGAACCTCATACAGCAGGCAAAACTGTATTAAACTCCTCATATGACGAATTCAACAGGGATACTCAACATGCAGTTTGCTGCAGGTACCCACTGAAGGCAGAAAAAACAAGGCTCCTAAACATAAACAAGTGCAGGGGAAGCATTCCAGCACAAATTTTGCCCACCATCTCAACGATGGTATGTGTATAACCATTGAGAAATCCCTGCACTAGCATGGAGGGGCTGCATTCTGACATTCTAGGCACCTGCAATCTGAAAACAATCATATTACAGCAATTTAACAGAGATTAATAAACATGTTTGATTCCAGTGTTAGTATCTGACAGTCCATGTGCAAAAGTACACAATTTTTCTCAAGTGTTTTTGGTGCATGTATTTTCTTTCTTAAATTTAAAATAAACAAACCTTCCCAGTCAGCTTTGAAAGATCATCTCCTCCCATTATCTGCATATCTTGCATAGACTGATCATTCTGAAAAAAAGAAAGACCAAACTTTGAAATTGAGTATAACAATATAAAACAAGAGTATAAACATGTTAACTTTTTTCAGATCTTTCACAGTCTTGGTTACCAATATTCTCTCATGCTCATTAGTATTAGTGCATGACAAAATCACACTCTCACTTGTTCCTGTGGCTTCTATCATCTTCCAGTTGTACTTAAGCTGATACCAAGCTCCAGGCTTTACTGAACTAGAAGAAGTTGCATCTTTCTTTTTAAAGTAAATTATGTTCCCTTGCTTGCTAGTTCTTATTATGACAAGTGTTGAATAACATACTTGTCCCTTTCACAAAAGGAGGACAGGAGCATTTCAACACTTGACCGAACACCTGTAAGCACATTCTTTTTTTGGAACAGTCTTTAGAAACACAGGCAAAATGTGCTTACATCTATCACTCACACAGAAAGCACAGCTATTTTTGAAGAAATTCACTCTGTATTTTTTCAGGGGAAAAAAGTTTTGCAAACATTATCCCTTGTTATCAGGAATAGTTTCAGTGTGCCATACCATTTCAAGAGTTTTGGTTTTGCTTTTTCAACTAACTCAAAGATAAAATCATTGAGATCAATTTCATAAAATAAAATACTGTCAATCGGGTCAAACTAAACACAACAGAATAGTATGCTTTGGTTTTCCTATTAGAAAAGTTTTGAGGTTTTTTCCTACAAAATCAGTAAAACAATTTTTTTTCTTTTTTTTTTTTTTAGCAGACATTTCTAGTTGAAATCCATTCTGATGGAAAATTCTCAACTAGCTCTAGTTCAAATTCATTATCAGCAGCACGCAAACTTAAGATCACACAAGGGAGACATAAGGAAGCCCTACTTTTAAGGGAAGAAAAAAGAGGCCTTAAGGAAGCTAGCAAGTTAAAAAATATACAGTCATGGCCAGGTTATACAAACTTTCCAGAGAAAGCAAGAGAAAAATTAAGTTAGTTAATGTGGGGTTTTGCCAAATTAGTGCATGTGCTAATCTAATCCCCCTACCCTCAGCGTTAGTCCAATTTTAATTACAGCTTCAGTACCGCATGACACTGTAGTTTACTAGTAACATCGGGAAGCTTTATCATTACAAACAACTGACAAACATGCAATACTTGAATTCTTTGCTTTTATTTCATCCAGTCCTCTGAATTCATTTTTTTTTCCACAAGTAGAGAACAGGACAGCAGGACTTACAAAGTTGGTGAGGATATACTGGGCTAAAAGTTTTATAGCTCTTCTTCTTTCTCTCAGAAAGCACCATCAGCAGAGGTAGCACACATGTGGGTGCCATGTGGCACAGTTACAGCTGCATGCCTGTGCAGATGGGATTTGCATCTGCCCATGCTCACAGCCCAGGTGGCAGAAGTTCAGGGACTTCCACGGCACCTTTGCAGCCACTTGATCATAAGTGATCTGACAACCCCATGAACTATTCGTGGTCCCCATGGGAATGGATTGCCTAAATTAATACATTCTTCCTGAGTACCTGTAAGTAAAGGTTGCAGAATTGCCCTGAGGACAATTTCTCCAGGTTTGCACACTGCAAACCCACCAAAAGGCTCCCCTTTCACTTAGACTCCACTCCCCCCAAAACTCTCACGCCACAGCTTTGTAAGAGGTCCTTAGACATCATTTCCCTAACAGACAGTTTTTAGACTTGCCTTCACTTTTTCTGCACCGGATCTAGGAGCTTTAGATCCTTTTCATGCTGCTCTGATTTGTTTCCTGGGAAACAAAGCTAGAGCACGAATGAAGGTTACATCCCATATGTTTTCTAATAGAAGTTTCAACATTTTTTGTAAAGAAAAACATAAAAAAATAATCCCAAACAACAAACAAAGCAACCAACTGATTTCCCCAGATTATTTGGAAACTAAAGAAAAAGTGGAGATAGAGAGGATTTTAAGTTCAGGCTTGAAAGCATAAGCCTTTTGTTGTAGAGCAAGATGGGTCACTCTTCAAAAATCAGGGACATGTTCAGGTCAAGACTATTCTAAGACTATAAAAAGCAGATAGTTTCTAACGTCTACCATGGCATGTGTAACCAAGGCACTGACAAAATATTTTTTCATTTCCAAATGAGAAAGTCTGGAATTTCACTAACAACAAACGCACAAGAATTACTGAAGAGGCAGTCTGCCCTTAGTTGCTAGTTGAAAAAGATAGGGGGGGAAAAAAAGATAACAGTGAGGAGCAATGATTAATGAATTTATTTATTTATAACTAAAAAAACCCCCTCTTTCAGCAGTCTTCACAGCAGCACTGTTTCCTTTGCATTTGGTATTTCTGGCTCCAGCTGAAAGGAAGATGCTGAAATAGCATCTTCATTGCTGGCAAGCAGTTAAGCAAACACAAAAGCCATTGAGAGCTGGGGGATCGCAGAGTCCTGTCAATCGCACATTCACATGTTGGCTGTTGTGACACCACTGCTCACAATTATGAAAATCCTTGTGTTCTGACTGGGAAATGATTGCTGCCAGAGGACAGGGCTGAGTATTCACTGTGCCTAAAAAACATATAGGAAAATGCAGCTCAGAACCTTCCTTGAAGGCAAGGTGCTTTCAAGAAATTTAAAGAAATTACCTGCATCATGCAGTAGAGCAATTCTCTTGGGGGGAAAAAAAAAATCAGATCATTGGTTTTAATGACATTTTTAACTATCTCTTCATTCATGAATTAACTCATATTGTAAAATATGTATCTGCAAACAGCAAGACTCAATACCACAATGTCACATTACCATAATCATATTGTTCATAATGTCCATGTTGTGGTTGCCATAGGAACCTCTCAATGCTTTTTTATGAGCTCTCAGTTTATAATCTCAAGATAACACTGCACTAAATGTTAAGTATAAAGTATGATAAATGTCAGGAAAGAAAAAAAATCTGTTTCATTCAGTACCAATTCCTGTCAGTTCAGAACTGTTTGTTTAATTTTCATGGACATTCAGAGCTTCCTTTTTCACCTTGGGAGTTATTCCCTACCTTGACAAAATTGATATGATTGGGTCTCCAGGACTTCTTAGAAGTGCAGAGACATGAATTAAAGGTTCACTTTCCATCACCCAAAGTTCTTCAGTACTTGCCTTCTAACCCTATCTAATCCCTAAACCCTATCAATACAATTTTTGTGCTTAAATGCTTGACACTAAATATAATGTCCCAGATAGAGACACTATCACAGACAAAATCACACTGTTTTGGTTAATGCAGCACAAAAGTTATTGCAGCTGTTTCTAACAAAAGACATGATGCATTCTGTTGCACCCCTACACCTCATCCCAAGCTATATTTAATACTGGGTTTTTTTCCTATGTTTAATAAATCTGCATTCTCCAGGATAAATCTCAGTTGTTTTTACCTGCTGTTATGCTTTTTCACCTGTTCATCTGTTTTATAATTGTATTTCATTCAGACCTTGTCGATGTACATCTTCAGGTCTGATGAATACTTGATGAATGAAAGCAAGAATGTTGCTATTTCCACCTCCATTTTTCATGGCATGCAAGATGAAACTTCGACTTTCTATGTTGATTGGAAATATAGATATTTAAATTCCATCTATACTAAGTCATGTCTTTTTAACTGGGTGGGGCACAGGATTATTACATCTCTTTTACATCTCCTGAGATCAGCACTTGGACATAGTTCAAGTTATAAGTGAAATGAGTTGGGTGGTCTCAGGAAAATTTATTATATACAGCATTGCTCATCTGAAAATTGCACCAAACTGTGAACATCTGTTACGCTTCTAAAGAAACAGAATCTGGGCTACATTAATACTGGGCTCAGGGAAACAAAGATTCTTTAATCATGGCAAAAAAAGAAGCTCTAGAATAACAAATTAAATGCGTAACTAAATTATAAAATATGGACATCAAGTCCTTATCAGATATCTAGTCACTATAGTCTGCAGAGTTCATATGGAATTTCTTTCAAAAACATGGTGATTGCCTTTTTCTCCCAAAATTCATTGTGGAAATTCTTAACAAAGAAGGATGTGACCATCAGGCCTCTTCTACTTTGCTTTTTACCACTGTGTCAGCAGGTGCGTCAACCTGAGGATTCCTGTAAGGATTGATCTCTCACTTTGCACCATGATTCCATCTCCTACAACTCAGTTTTCCAGGAAGGTTTTGGCCAAAAAGAGGTGACTGACAGACCATCACTTTCAGTTGTCTCTTAGAACCGCAAGCTGTTGAATACAGAGCATCTCTAAGGCCTGCCTTATCCTTCCTTAATGGCTAAGTGAAACGGTTTGGGCAGAATTACTACCTGTAAAGTTTCTGACTTCTACCCACAATTGGCAGAGTTTGAAAAGCAACAGTCAAGCATCATTTCACCAACAGGTTTCGTGCAATATGAAGCACCATTTCACCAATAGGTTTGGTGCAATATGTCCACTAAGGCAGAGTAGAGTTCAATCCCCACATTCATTCTGGCCTCACCTTTTTATTCTTCATTAGGACTGTCATTAACTGCACATGATCTTTGCTGCTTCTGTTCTCATAGGATGACCCATGGCCTTGAAAGAGCTTCATTAAAGGCAGGATTACTCTGTTCCTAATTTAGGTATCTGAAAGTTAAGCCACCTAAATCTATTCATCTTGGGCTCCCTCCATAATCAATGGAGAAAGCAAGATAGATCACATAAACCATCTATTTCACCATATCAGAAGTCTACAGCAAATAACTTACACCTACACATCTAACTGTGAGAAATCTGAAGTTAGGTGAGATAAATCCCATCTTAAAAGACATCAGTATTTTCTTCCTAAAAATCTCACTGAGCGCTCAGAAAGAAGTTATTTTCAATTGCATTTACCACAGGCACGTAAGAAGCAACATCCTGAACTATCCACTCAGGCTCTGTCTCACATAAACATTTAATGTAATTCTCTTTGGTACCACTCCAGGATAATTTGCTTGCATGTTTACTCACAGGATTAATTTTAATCTAAGTGAAATATAATTGAGGAGAGA